ATCCGCCCGCTCCATTCCTCATAGTTGGAGCCATCCAAAGCTTCGATATTGGATGGTGGCGGTTCACTCCTCTTCTCAGCTGCATCTCCACTCCCTTGATTCATCTCCTCTGCTCCCAATCAGAGGTTTCAGCTCCCCCTTTTGCTGGTCACAATGTAGATCCACACAATCTTCACAAGTGTCGGCGCCAACGAACTTTCGGCAGAGTTTCCCCTTAGCGGAAGTCACATCCAACCTCCAGAACTCCACTTAGGCACGCCCACAGGCCATGGTGGGTCTAGGAGGGTCTTCACACTTCAGTAGACTCTCCACAAAGTCCTTAATCAGCTCTTATACCACTTGTTAGAGACTAAGGACGGAGTCTATGAAGATTAGGAGCCAAAATATCTCAACATCGTTGGGCCTAGTTTCTGAACAGAAAAGTCGAGTTCACAAGAAACGCCGTCGACGGAAATTTCGCGGTTAAAACTTCACCAAACTCAGATATGTTGTAGCTCTACTCCGTGGCTACAATTCCCAAGTTGAATCGTACGGAAAGGTGAAGTGTGTCTTGAGTTATCGATTTCAGCGCACTAGGGGGTATGCTGCCATAGAATCTTAACTCAATCACAAAGTTCACACAAGTTCACACAAGAGAATTGGAGTAGCACTAAACCAGGTGGAAGGGATTAGGAGGACGAGAGGGAAGGTCCCAAGAGAGTCCCCAACCAAGGAAACCCCATGGCATACAATTCCCTTCCCCATAGGCAACCCAACTTTGACCTTTGTCACTATCCCAACCTCCACAATCCACCTCAACCCAACTTGGCCACACTTGCCAACCTGGTTTGGTTTCTCCCAACCATTTGGCAGCAACTACAGTAGAAAAGACGAATTTCCCAACCCCCAAAAGTCTGTACCCCATATTGAGTCAACCCCACAACTTCCCATAGTCACCACAACCAAATATCAAAAGCATACGAACTCCAACGTTCGTAACTTTCTTGTTCGTGCTCCGATTGAAGCGATACTTGGTTCCTCGGAAAGCTCTTGAGCAGAAGAGTCACTTCAGATATCTGCTCAAGCCAAATAACATTCACACACACACTCAGAAAAACCAAACCGCACAAAACACAAATTCTTGTGCACACTCACAACACGCATGCAACGCACGAACATATGATGGGAGGCAGACAGACGTGAATGCGAATGGTAGCATCACTCAACACCTTGTTCGCTTCTCAGCGGGGCACAGTCGAACCCCGCGTCAAGGTGCATCGGTGACGGGTTGCCGTATGTCAACATGACCAAGGGCAGTAAGGCTGAGAGCACGAGGTCCTGTAGCGCCGCGATGATAGCTTGTCGTAAAATGCTGTTGAACGCCTTCGCGATGTCAGTTTGTAGGACCAGGCAGTTTGGTCACACGTCGGCGTATGCTCGAGCAGCGTGAATAATTGCTTCTGCTCCTCCCGGCACTGCAACACCGTACTGTAAAGGCAGAAAATAACCTCGAGCTGCTTCTCCCATGACTGTTAGTGCTGCCTTTGCTGCCAGGCGGATCAAACATTCGCCGATTGCTATTGGGCGGACCCCACCTTCCTGCTTGGCCAAGGCTATGAGGCGCGAAGCAGTCAGCAGGTCCGCTACAGGCTTAGGTAAATTTCCCCCAAGCAGGGTGTTAACCAAGGCGTGCAAATGGGTGCAGCGTGATGCGTTCGTTATTGACCCGTCACACAGGTGCTCAAATGTCGTCCCTGACGGACCGCCATTCTCGCATTTGCTCAGAAACTTTACGAAGTCTTCGTCGGCGATGGCGAGACCAAGTGTCGGGATGTTGGGCGGCCAGGTCAGAGCCTCGTTAACAGCTAGCGGATGTTTTCGCCGAAGCTCGTTCAGGATTTCTGGACAGGGTGAGCAAACTAGGGTTGACTCGAGGGCCAGCATGACCCAATGCAGACTCCCGCACTTCGCTAGTCCTTCTGCTCTGTTGATGGTCCCTGCGTCATCGGGCCGGTGACGTGGCGACGGAGGTGTGTTGACCGCTTTCGTGGCGTCAGTCTACAGTTGCTCACATTCGCCACGTTGGAAAGAGCGAAGCCGAGCCTTGACCTACGTCCAGTCCGGTCGTCTCGGCGAGGCTTGGCAAAGGGTGAGGTGCGGGAGAAAAGGCAGCAGTCGCCAGCTTGCGATTGAGTCAGGATTTTGCGATAGGTGGAGAAGTGGGGTCAACAGCGCCAGCGAAAACATCTGACACAGATTCGGCGGTAATTGGTGGGACATGGATGGTTGATGGCTGCCGCAGAGGGCTGAAATATCCCAGTTCGTAGCTGCTGCGAACTTGTCAGTCCGCATCGCCAGCTCCTCTGGCGAAAAATAGCGCGAATTTGTAGGACGACTCGCCATGTTGGATTGGGCACGGGCGGCCCAATTTCATGGGGCGCGGCTCGATGTGGGGGTCCGTGCGGTGGCTGGATTCTTGGGCATACGATCGCCATCGTACGATACCCGCCCACCCTCCTGATTAGAAGAGACAGCCTATTGAGGCCGGGGCCTCTTCTCCCAGCGTGCTCTCCTTCCTCCTCGCCATTGTCGCTCTCGCCACTTACGGTGTCGCGCTCCGTTCGCCGGCTCCTAGTGCCTCTCTCTCTCTCTCTCTCTCTCTCTCTCTCTCTCTCTCTCTCTCTCTCTCTCTCTCTCTCTCTCTCTCTCTCTCAAGCAGTCATATATTGATATGGGTCACAAAGGTACAGGCATGGCAGATGGTGGTAACTAGCATGACTAAACATGGAAGCAACCAGGAAAACAGAACTAACAAGCAAACAGAGCAAGCCCATCCAGCCAAAGCACACCGATCACCTAGCTCTCAGAGCAGCCCGGTCCACAGCAGCACAAGTCCCCGAGAACCCCACATTCCGTCTATCCCTTGTTCTTCCCATACCATAGGACCACCCCTTATCCTCCTTCACCCAGCAGCTTCCTCGCACCTTCCCTGAGACGCCCTCCATTTTCCCTGTCCCCCCTGAAGCCTCCCCAACTCTGTATTCCTCTTCTTGACCCTCACCACGCCCCTGTATCCCACCCCTGCTGCCCCCCAGCCGACCCCCTGTCACCGAGTTCCTTCCTCCCCAGCCCCCTAAGCCGCCCTAGCTGGTGCCTGGCGCTCCTTATACTCGTCTACCTGCATCTGCCAGAGGTCTCCCAGGCGGGGCGCCCAAGGGTCCGCTGCAGCCTGAGGGAATGCCGCTTCTGCCGCCCGGTTAGACTTGGAGAGGAGGGATGTCGCCTGGCTGCGTTGGAGCATCACCGACCACCTCTGCCTGTAGTGTGCGTTGAGGCGGGCAGCGGTGGTGGTGAGGCGCCCCTGGCGGTACTTCTTCTTCGCCGCATAGGTAGCCAACATACGGAGGAACTGTTGAGTGTCAGTCGCCAACGCCCCGTAGGTCTCAACCGCCAGGCCGAAGAAACCCACATAGCCAGGCCGCCCCTCGTAGAGCCTGTGCTTGGCCTGCGACGCCTCCTCCGCTGCCCACCCCGGCGGCTTCCGCGCCCTCACGTCCCTCCTCTGCAGGACCGGGTCAGTCACCGTCACGTCCGTCGCCCAAGTCTCTCCCGACTCTTGGTCCCTGACGGCTAGGTCAGCACGCTTGTTCTGGACTGGGGGAGAGAACGCGGTCGTCTCGTGAAAGGTTTTGTACCCGGCTTCCTGCGCCATGCAAAGAGCAGCAAAGGCCAGCGCATTGTAGGTGCGCACAGCATCCCCACCATCGGCACACCGTAGCAGGTGGTTGGGCAGACTCTTGTCAGCTATCTTGGAGTTGGACCGCTTGCAGGGGCAGACCTCCGCCACCGGTAGTTCCATGCCAAGGCGCAAGCCTAGTGCCATGGAGAACTGACCAGGGGATATTGAGAGGTCAGCCCTCGTGGGCACTGCATGGAGCCAGTCGCCTGCTCCCACTCCTTTCAGGCTGATGAGCCGAATGGCATGGCCCCGGTCCACCCCCGGCCTATCAGTTACTGTATCTGCCAGCAGCTCCTCCGCCCGCGTGTGATTGATGGCCTTGGAGAGCCCCAGCTGCAGGTTGCCCATACCCCTGGGGTTCTCTCTGTAGCTGTGTAGCACCGCCGCGGCCTGTGCTGGGAGCCTTGCCTCGAGCGGGGACAGCGGGTTCACCCGGGGGGGAGGTGGGGTCCATGTCGGGGAAAGAAGATCCCCGGCCCTGTGAAGTAGGTAGTCCGGCGGCAGGTTCAGCTGCTGCAGTAGAAGGTGCGCCGCTGCGGTTGAGGCTAGGTACGCGGCTAAGGCTTCGGAAATGGGATCAATGATTTCCAGCCCCCCCAGCCGAACCGGGAGCGTTGCCTGGCGCCACAGCAGGCTTTGCTCTAGCTCGCTCGGCGGGATCTGTAGCTTCGATGCCGTGAGACCTGCTCCCACCAATGCCTCGCTCCACTCCCTCCATTCCGTATGGGCCAGTGCCTCTGCCGGTGTTGTGCGAAGTAAGTACGAGATGCGGCGGGAGATGCTCCGCGATATCATGAGTAGGGCGTGCTGCGGATTGAGTTGGGCGACGAGGGGTAGTGGCGCAGCTGCCTCCGCAAGCGCCGCCCGGACCTGGTCGGTGCAGAAAGCATCGCTGCCAACCGGGCTGCCCAGCACCTTCAAACCACCTGGGTGGATGGGCAGGCCGTGTGGCAAGCCGTCTCCTCCTTCCTCCCGCACTGCGCACCATGCCGCAGACTTTGCAAGGTTGCACCGCAACCCGCACGAAGCCAGCTCCGCAACGACCGTGTTGAAAGCGACGCACGCTACTTCGCGGGGCCCCACGATGGTGATATCATCGGCATATGCCACGATTGCCACCTCCGGGACACTTGAAGCCACGCCGAGCAGAATAGGCTGAATCGCCGCTGCAAAAAGAAGAGGTCCCAGCGGGTCCCCTTGGCAAACACCCCTGGAGCTTTGGATGTGTTCCACTTCCAGGCGGGGGTCCACTAAAGGCCGCGAGGGGCCATCGTAGAGGTTCCTAACGAGCGGGAGCAGCGGGTTGAGGCTGGACCACTGGAGGGCGGCGAGAAATGACGTGCGTTCTACGCTGTTGAAAGCGTTCTCCACATCCAGCTGTAGAGCTATGCGGGTCTCGTCATCTCGGAGTAAGGAGCGAACCGTGTGGATAATACACTCCGCGCCCCCAGGGACTGCTACGCCGAACTGAACGGGGAGGAAGAACTCTCGGATTTTCGGGCCTAAGCTGTGTAGCGCCGCCTTTGCTACCACGCGTAGTAAAGCCTCGCCTATTGCGATCGGTCTAACTCCTCCCCCGGGCTTCTCTAATCATATGAGCCGGGAAGGGAGTAGAAGGTCGCGGACTTTTTGGCTCTGGAAGGAACTGGCGAGGCGAGTAACCACGTTTGCCAGGAGCAGGAGGATCTCCTCATTCGCTAGGGCTGGGTCTCTCAGGTGTTCGAAACAGCAGCCTGAAGGCCCCGCTCCCACCCCATTCGGGCACTTCGCGAGAATTTCGCGAAGAGCTTCTAGTGGGATTCTGAGCTCGGAGTCAGTTATCCCGGTAACCCAGGCTGGTGTTGGGGTGCTAGAGGACGGGTGTTTCGCTCTCAGGGCAGTCAACGTCGCCAAATTCGGTTCGGCGAGAGGGCTGGTGCGTAACGCTGCAACTGCTTTCGAAATGTTGCCTTTTTTAACCAAACCCTCTGCCCTCGCGCAAACCCCCTCGTCATCATTTCGGTGTCTAAGCGGAGCACCTGTGTCGGGGATGGTGCAAGCAGCTTCGAACAACCCCTCCCAATCTCCTAACTGGAACTGATGCAGCCGAGCCTCAATTGATGCCCATCGGCTGCCAGTGACTGGCTCTGGTGGTGGACGTAGCGTCAGCCTCGGGAGGTATAGCAGGATCGCCCATGCACCTGGGCATTCTGGGTTTGATGACAGCCGTAGGAGTGGTGCGAGGAGGCATAGGCAGTATTTGTCTAACACCTGGGGTGGTAGCCGTCTGACTAGGAATGATTGGTCCATTCGTTGGAGAAGGTCCATGGTCCACGTGCCTGCTATCTGCCAGATGGCGTCGTCCTCTGCCAGGGTGGCAGGCGATTTCACCTCGTTGGCGACCGCTGCGGCTGGGACCGACCCTCCCACGGCATGGGATGTTTCTCCGTCCGCTCCCTCCCCTGTGCCTCTCGCTCGATTCCGCCCTCTTCCCACTTCCTCCTCGTTTTCCAGCGAAACCTCTTCCGACTCTGGGCCTGGTTCCTCTCCACACATAAAATCTGGATCCCCGTTCTCCTCAGCAGAGCCGGCTTCGTCCCCATTGGCTGCAGCCTCCGAAACCTCTGGACGGTCGTGACGTTCCCGCCACGGGCCCGTTCGGGCTTGGATCTCAGCTCCTCCCAGACGAGCGACACCCCTGCGCGCTCCCCCTCGCCTTCCGCGGCCCATACCGCGCAAACCCCGGCCTGCCACCGGCGCCGATCGAGCCGTGGCCTCCAGTCCCGCTCTCTCCGCCGGCATCCACGGCGTACGGCCTCCCCTTGGAGGACCCCACGTGACAGTGCCCAGCCGAGCCGAGCAACGAGTTGCAACGCCTTCTGTAGCTGGGGCAACAGGGCTTGGCGGTGAGTGCACGCGCGCTCCGTTGTCCTGGTTAGAGGCCGGCTGCTCTGCTTGGCCGGTTGCTGTCGTCTGAGTTGCTGCCTCATTGAGTCCGGAAACCCCCCTTGCCTCTTGCGTGTGCGCAGATGGCGACCGATGCGCTCGCTCTGATGGCGGTTGCCCTTGCAGAAGCCAGCCCAGGAGGGGTCCCGGGGAGCCAGGTCCCAGCCCTGCTCCGGGCCGTCTCGGCGCTGGTTGGGCACGCAACTTCTTCTTCGACTTCCCCTGTGCAGCGCCGGAAGACTCGCCGTGTGCGCGTCCTGGAATCTCACCCTCCGCCTGGGCGCGCTCCTGCCTATTTGCGGCCACGGCATCAACAGGCGTTTCGACGCACGCAGCGGCAGTCATCACGTCTTCCGCCGACGGGGCTCCGCCCTGCTCCCCAGTCGCAGCAGACATCGCCGCCGCCAGCACAGCCGCAGTTACAGGTGCCGGCGACGCGGACAACACCGCCTCCGCGGTCTGTTCCTTATCCGCGCCCGGAATTGGCTCCTCAGCCCCTGGCTGTGCAACCCGTGGGATGGCAGAGGGTGAAGTTGAGCCGCCGCCAAAGGCAGCGGCAGAAACGCCAGCAGGCACCAGGCCCACCGCCGTCGCCGCTGCAGACGCAGCAGCAGCAGCAGCAACCTCAGGCACCATTGCAGCCGCCATCCTGGGTGCCGCAGCAGCCACCAGCTCAGTCCCCGCTACGTCGTTTTCCCCTGCCCCTCCAGCCGCAGCTGCCACGTCCCTCGATGCCCCACGTTCCACCGTCACCTCGCCTGCACGCTCCAGGCCCTCGGCTAGTACCAGCCCCGCCATCATTCCATCAGGGCTTGTATGGCAGCCCCCCCGTGCCGCGTCCATGGGAGCCAGTGACGCCTCCCGCCCAGCCTCCTCCCCTTGCCGTGGTTCCTGGTGAGCCCCCAACTCGCGTCGAGCAGCGCGTGATGCACGTTGGGACATGCATGACGCTCCTGTCGTACGTGCTCGACCAGCTTCACGTGACCCTGGTGCAGCAGGAGGTGCGGATCGAGGCGATGCAGCCGGCGGAGCAGTCAGCGGCAGTGGCGGTAGCGGAGGAGTTGCAGCATTACCTCCCCCTGATTGGCTTTGTGCCAGGTTCCCCTGGGGCTGCCCTCGGGCCCGGCCCTGGGGCCTTGGCACGGCTTGCTGATTCTGCCCGGGAGGATCCGCTCGACCTTGTAGCAGCAGCCGCGTCCGTCCTACGCTGGCTGGACGGGAGGCTGTGTTGGATCCTCGTTGAGTAGCGGGAGCCTTCCCCTTGCCAGCCCCCTTAGCAGCAGGTCTGGGTTTGGGCTTCCCCGTGGCGGTGTTCTCACGCCCGGGGGTGTTGTTGTAGCTGTTGTTGTTCTATGCCTGCATGTTGTACTGCCCCATGTTGATATGCCAGGAGCTTTTCCCTTGTCACCCCTCACGCCGAAGGCGGCCGGCGCGAGCTGCCGGTTTTTGGGGAGTAAACAGAACTCACCAGTGAAGAATGAGCTCAAAAGGACTCCTCACTAGGTGCTTTATACTAGGAAAACAGCCCTGGAAACGACTAAGGACTAAGGACTAGGCAGGAGAGGGTGAAAAACGGCTAAGGACTAGCCCCAAGCCATCTCTCTCTCTCTCTCTCTCGCTCTCTCTCGAGCGAGCCGCCGGTTTTTGGGGAGTAAACTGAACTCACCAGTGAACCGAGATTAGCCATAGTTAACCGAACATACCAACGCAGCGCACTGTTCCATTCCAAACCCAGGGTGACAAATTGGGGAGGTATGCGCAACCGACAAGAAACCCCACATGGACGATGACCCCCGCGATTTCGGCAGTTCTTGGAACAACTAACTCGATTGTGAGTTTTGTCATAATGTTCAAAACATGATTATATGGAAAATCTACTAAATAAATCTCTCTCTCTCTCTCTCTCTCTCTCTCTCTCTCTCTCTCTCTCTCTCTCTCTCTCTCTCTCTCTCTAATGGTCCTTGTATTGATATAGTCGGCAAGTACAAGCATGCAAGTCATAGAGTCGTAGGTAACACACATGCAAAGCACAAGCACCACAGATCTACAATTCCACTAGGGGCTCAATGACTGCGAAGCAGTCCCCAAGGTGCAATTCGTCCCCAATTCCCCCCACAGGCGGGTTCTCTACTGCCGCAGCCTCTCCAAGCTTGAGAAGGAGGCCCACAGATTGGGCCCTTTGCAGGGCCACCGACCAGCGTTGCCTGAACTGATGCAGGAACTTTGCAGCATAGAACGATTTGGAGTCGGCGTTGAAGTGGCGCCGAGCTGCAGTGTCCGCCAAGAGCTTCAGGAAGACTGGCACCTCCGCGCAGGGGCAGCCGTAGGTGTCCACCGCAAGTGGGAAGAACTTCACCGTCTCTGGCAGGGTGACGTAGTGCTGGATCTTCTTGTCCGCTTGCTCCCGTGCCGCCCAGCCCCTGCCTTTCTGCGCCTCTGGATCCCTAGTGCTAATAGGGTCGGTAATGGTGACGTCGCATACGTAGACGGCCCCACTGCTTCTGTCCGTCATTGTAAAATCAGCCGTCTGTTCCTCGATGGGGCAGTGCGCCGACGACTCGCCGTGGACAATGAACCCCGCGTCTTGGGCCATGGGGGTCGGCTTTCTCAAGGAGTGGCAAGGGATTTGCCATTTCCCGTAGCTGACCCGACAGGAACTGTGACGCCCCGCTGTCAGGGCCCACGAAGCTTCCCAGCAAGCGCACGCCGTCGTGGGAAAATGGAACTCCCTGCGGCAGCTGATCCTTCACTGCTGCGTCCCTGCTCCAGGCTGCGCATTTCTGCGCGTTGTGTCTTAGCCCCAGGTGCGCCAACCTCTCGGTGAAGTGATTAAATGCGGCTACAGTGTCTGCCGCCTTCCCCAGGAATGTGACATCGTCGGCGTAAGCCAGACAAAGCACGTGGGGATATGCCTCAGCAGTGTCGCGAAGTGCTGGGTGTATTCCCGCCGCAAACAGTAAAGGGCCAAGTGGGTCCCCTTGACGCACTCCCCGTTCGCTGGTCAGCGGGTCACATTCGAAATTTGCGTCGAGGTGCAACTTGGACGGGTTACAATAGGTCAGTTTCACCAGCGGCACTAGTGGCGATAGCCCGGGTTCGTGTAACGCCGTCGCGATAGCTTGTCGGGATATGCTGTTGAATGCATTCGAGATGTCGGTCTGCAGCACCAGGCTGTTGGGTAGCTTGTCCAGATACGCCCGTGCCACGTGGATAACTGCCTCGGCTCCTCCTGGCACAGCCACTCCATACTGTAGAGGCAGGAAATAGTCACGTGCAGCATCGCCCGTGGCTGCGAGGGCTGCCTTGGCTGTCAGCCGAGTGATGCACTCGCCAATCGCGATTGGTCGAGCCCCCCCACCAGGTTTGGCCAGGGCTATGAGTCGCGAGGCTGTCAGTAGGTCTGCCACCGGTGCTGGTAGGTTGCCCCCCAAAATGGTGTTTATCAATGCGTGCAGATGGGTGCTGACTCGCCCGTTCGTGATTGCCGCGTCGCGCATGTGCTCGAAAGTTGTTCCCGAAGGTCCGGCACCGACCCCGTTCTCGCACCTCCCCAGCAGTTTGGCGAAGTCAGCGTGGGTGATGGATAATTTTGACTCGGGCGTGGGTGGCCACGTCGTTTGTCCTGTTTTGGCTGGCGGATGTTTCAGTCGGAGCTCCTCCAGAATTTCTGGAGTTGGTTTGCAGACTGGCGTTGACTCTAACGCCAACACGGCTCGGCGCAGGCTACCACGTTTCGCCAGGCCCTCGGCTCGGCTGATGACCCCGGTAGCATCGGGCTGATGACATGGTGGCGCGGGTGAGTTGACTGCTTCAATCGCGTCCCTGTACAGTTGGTCCCACTCGCCACGCTGGAAGGCTCGGAGCCGGGCCTTGATCTGGGGCCAGTTCGGTTTCCGTGGCGAGTTTTGGCGAAGCGTCAGACGTGGCAGAAAGAGGAGAAGGCGCCAACCTGCCTCTGATTCCGGGTTTCGTGACAGGTGGAGTAACGGGGTCAGTAGCATCAGCGAAAACAACTGGCACAAGTTTGGCGGTAACCGCCGTGCCAGAGATGGCTGACGACTGTCGCAAAGGGCAGGGATATCCCAGTTCGCGATGTCCGCGAACCCGTCTGCCCGCATTGCCAGCTCCTCTGGCGTGAAATAGCGAGGGAGATTGGGATTTTCTCGCACCGCCGTCGTGTCTGTCGCGGCCCGATGTCGCCTGGTGCGGCCCGTCCTCGCTTGTGATGGTGGGGTGGGAATTTCGCCCGTACGATCGGCATCGGACGGTCCACCAGCGGTGTCCCTTTGCTCGCCAAGGGACTGCCTTGGTCTTGCTCCCGTCCTCCTCCCGTTCTCCCTTACTCCTTCCTCTCCTTCCGTCCCTTCATCTTCGCTCGAGGGCATGGGCTCTCTCTCTCTCTCTCTCTCTCTCTCTCTCTCTCTCTCTCTCTCTCTCTCTCTCTCTCTCTCAAGCGGTCCTTCATTGATGTATAGGCAGGTACATGCATGGTGATAACTAGTCCTGGCCAGCAAGTAACCCTAGAAAACAAGCAGCCATCTTAGCAAGCATCAGAGCCGTGGCCCAGGTCCTAAACAAGCCATCAAGCCCTCCTACCCCCGCTTGCGATTCTAGCAGCCTAGCCTAGCAAAGGCAGGCAGGCCACCCGAGCCTCCCTTCCACCACCTCTCCCGGCCACCCTCTACTCGCCCCAGCTCCAGTCCTGGACGAACCCGTCCTCCAGGACCTGCCACAGGTCCCCCAGCCGTGGTTCCCACGGGTCTGAGGGGCCTGGTGGCCATGCTGCCTCTGCCGCCCTGTTCGACTTGGCGAGCAGGGCATTGGATTGGCAGCGCTGGAGGATCACCGACCAACGCTGTCGGTAGTGGGCAGTGAGCTTCGAGGCCACCGTTGTCGCCCTCCCCTGCCTGAACTTCTTCTTGGGCCCAGATGTGCCCAGGAGCCTGAAGAACCTCTGGGTGTCCCTCTCTCTCTCTCTCTCTCTCTCTCTCTCTCTCTCTCTCTCTCTCTCTCTCTCTCTCTCGAACGGTCCTTGTATTAATATAGGCTTATAAGGGACAGCAAAAGGCAAAAGCTAAAGCAAAAGCAAAAGCACAAGCAAAAGCACAAGCAAAACAGGCACAACCTGGTGCTACAATACTACCCCGCCCACCCTACCCCCCCCCCCCCCCCCCCCTTCCCCCCCCCTTCTACTCACTCCCCGGCTCTAGTGTTGCAAAGCAGTCCCCCGGGTACAACTCCCCCTCCAGCCCGCTCACAGGGGGGTTCTCTATCTGTGCCGCCTGGTTCAGTTTGACAAGGTAGCTCACGGCCTGGGCTTTCTGTAGAGACACCGCCCAGCGCTGGCGGTACTGGTGCAGCAACTTCGCCGCCTGGTAGGATTTGGGGGGAGCGTTGAAGTGTCTGCGTGCCGCTGATTCTGATAGCTGCTTGAGGAAGGCCGGAACCTCGTCACACGGGCAGCCATATGTCTCAACTGCCAGGGGAAAGAAGCCAGCATAGGACGACCGGTTTTGGTAGAGGTCTATTTTCTTGTCCGCCGCTTCCCTGGCCGCCCATCCCCTTCCCTTCGTGGCCTGCTCATCCCTCTTGCTGATTGGGTCAGTGATTGTTATGTCCCCCAGCCACACAGAGCCTGTGGTACGGTCCCGGATGGCGATGTCCGCTCGCTTGTTGTCGACCGGGCTGAACGCCGTTGTCTCCTTGTGAGTCATGTACCCCGCGTCCTGTGCCATACGGGCGCACTCATCACGTAGTTCGTTATGGGTGTTTGTGCGCCCACGTCCAAAACCGCAGCGGAGGAGGTGGTTAGGGAGTCTTTTATCCGGGATTTCAGTCTTGTTGTTGCAGTCACAGTGGCCTGGTACGGGTAGGGGCATTCCTAGCCGGAACTGTAGGGCGAAGGCAAAGTGCTCGGGGTTGAGGCAGAGGCCGGGCATGTATGGGATGGCTAACAACCAGTCACCTGCCCCGTACCCAGAAAGAGAGATTAGCCGCTGCGTGTGGCCCATCAAAGGGTTCAGCTCCATCCTTCTAGAAGCTGCAACCTGTTCTGCGTAGCGGCTTGCTTGGGTGAGGCGGGCTAGGCGATGTTGCAGCCGACCTGTGGGGTTCACCAGTTCCGCATCCAGCAGGTTCCTTGCCTCCTGGCACAATGCGCCTTTGCACCCATGCAGCCAAGCCTGAAGCGGGTCTGGGTCGGGGTCAATCACTGCTGACCACGAGAAGGCGGCTGCTAAGGAGGATCCTGCCGCCCCCTACTCATCTGTTAGCAGCGTCATGGCTTGGACAAAGCTTGCTAGATAGCTGTATCGTCCTTCCACCGCTGGATCTGAGAGGCCAACACCTCCCAGGGACGGCGGGAGAGAAGCCTGTCCCCATACCCTGGTTTCCTCCGCTTCTCCCCTCGGTGGGCGGACCCCGCAAGCCTCCAGGAGGGTGAGTAGTAGCGCATGTCCCCACTGGGACCATTCAGCCTCTGGGAGCATGCACAAGGGTTTAGTGCGCGCCAGGTAGGAGATGCGCCGGGAGATGCACTTTGTCAGCAAGAGCGACGCCAGCTGAGGGTCCATCTTGGCGATGAGGGGGAGGGGCGAGGACAGTGCTTCGAGCTGGCTTCGCAGGAATGCCGCTGCTCCCGCTGTTGGGCCTATGTAGCTCCCCAGCACCCGAAGTCCCTCTGGGCAGAACGGTACACCCTCCGGGATTACGCAAGCATCAGCTCCCAAAGCACTCCATGCAGCGCATTTTGCCGGGTTGTGTGTCAGCCCGGCCTGTAGCAAAGCGGTGGTGAAGTGGTGGAATGCCGACGTGCAGTCCTCTGCCTTCCCTAGGAAGGTGACGTCGTCGGCATAGGCGAGGCATAGGACTGATGGGAAGGCGGCGGCCGTGTTCGTCAGGGCTGGGTGGATGCCCGCCGCGAAGAGTAGTGGCCCCAGGGGGTCCCCTTGACGTACACCAGTTTCGCTCGTGAGTGGTGGGCTGTTGAAGTCGGCATCAAGGTAAAGCATGGATGGTGCGCCGTATGAAACCCTCGCCAGTGGTAAGACGTTTTCTAGGGTTGATCCTCTGAGAGCCTCAACTATCGCACTCCTGCTGATGCTATTAAAAGCGTTTGCCAGGTCTGCCTGGAGAATCAGAGCGTCTGTGTGTGCGCTCATAAACGCCCGCGCCGTATGGATTATGGCCTCGCTACCTCCCTGGACCGCGACACAGAACTGGAGAGGGAGGAAGAAGGTGCGCGCTGCTTCTGTTAGGGTTGCTAAGGCGGATTTGGCGGCGAGGCGCAGGAGGCATTCTCCGGTTGCGATGGGCCTTGTTCCGCCTTCTGGCTTGGTGAGGGCAATCAGTCGCGAAGACGTGAGGAGCGAACACACCTCGGAGGGGAGAGATCCCCCCAGGATGGTGTTGACTAGTGCGTGGAGGTGGCTGTTCACTGAGGCGTTGATGAGTGCAGCATCGCGGAGGTGTTCGAACGTCATCCCTGATGGCCCGCTTCCTACTCCGTTTTCGCATCGGTTGAGGAGCTTGGTAAAGTCAGGCCTGGTGATTGCGAGGGCGGGGGTGGTGAGCGTGATGTTCCAGTCGGTTGGAGTCGGTGGTGCGGGGGGGTGTTTTGACTTGAGTGCTTCGAGCACTTCAGGTGTTGGGGTGGCGACTGGGGTTGACTCGAGGGCTAGTACTGCACGTCGCAGGCTGCCTTTGCGCGCCAAGCTCTCTGCTCTGGCTCGCGTGCCTGTGCCGTCTTGAATGTGGCGTGGCGGTGCTGGGTTGGATAATACAGTAACATAGGACTCGTACAGCGTATCCCATTCGCCTCTGAAAAATTGGTGAAGTCGCTGTGTCACAGCTGGCCAATCGGGTTTTGATGGTGTCGCTTGGCGAAGGATCAGGCGGGGAATAAAAAGTAACAGGCGCCAGCCAGCGACTGATTCGGGATTTCGCGCAAGGTGTACCAGGGGCGTCAACAACGCCATTGCGAACAGGCGGCGGGTGTCAGTTGGGATTTTTCTTGCCAGCGGTGGCTGACGACTATCGCGAAGGTGAGTCAGGTCCCAGTTTCCCACCCTTGCGAAGCGGTCGTTATCCTTCGCCAGCTGTGGGTGCATCAGTCAGAGGTGGTCCAGCCACATTTCCTCCCCCCTGAATGTTGAGAGATGCAGATGCGGTCCGACGGTGTGTTGCTCTCGGAGTCCTCGCAGCTGCTTGCGTCTCCATCTCTTCTCCGACGGATTCATCCGTCGATGATTCCTCAAGCGCTGGTTGCTCATAAGAAGCGTCCCTTCGTTCATCATTTTCATTGTTAAGTGCTCGATTTAAAGCCCGTCCACCTCCTCGTCCCTCTGTGCTTCGCCGCCCTGCGACTCTGCCTCCTCGTAATGCCTGTGGCGGTTGGTGGTGGTTCCCCGGTGCCGTATTCGCCGCGGCCCTTTGGCGTGGCGTCTGCTGCGCTTGCCTCAACTGTGGTGTCGGCGCCTGTGGCCCCTGTTGCGGCGATGTCTGCCGCGGGTTCTCCTGCTCACGCGTGCTCCATGGTAGTCGACTCTGGACGAGAGTCGGCGGGTGTGGACGCCCCCCCGCGCGTGGTGGCGCCGGCGCCTGTACCTGCCTTCGTTCTGGCGCATGTGGCTGACGTGGCGCCTCTTCCTGCTCCTGGCGCGGCGCCCTCACCTGCGCCTCTCCTTCCGGCGTTGCCGTCGCCTGCTGCGGCGGCCGCTGATGCTGCTGTTGCGGCGCCTGCGTCTGGTGTGACACCACCTCCTGCTCCGGTTCTGCCGCCACCTCCAGTGGCTCCTGTGGCGCTACCCGTGGCGGCTCCTGCCGCGTCCCTTGGTGCGCCGGGCGGGGGGTCTGCCCTTCCGCTCCCGTGGCTCCCTCGTCTGCACCTGTCCTTCCACCGGCTGTGCAGCAGCGGAACTCCCGTCCTCATCCGCCCTCTGTCAAACATTATATATGTTGTGTTAGTTTAGGCTACAGTGGGTTAGCCTATAGGAGGTACACAATTCTAGGGTTAGGTACTTGTACTCTTTTCATTGCTAGTCCATCCATTTTCCTGTTCAGTGATTCCAACATGGTATCAGAGCAGGTCCTTCCTAGGACCGAAATTTTCTAAGGGCCCACCACTACGTAACTACCTACCTACCTACCTACCCGTACCCTAGGGCGCCTCGGCGTGTCACGCCCCTAGAGGCCCCTCTTGACGGCCCCGCGCTAGCCCCGTTCAGGCCCCGTCGGCCCCTTTAAGGCCCCGTTCAGGCCCCGCGCTAGCCCCGTTTAGGCCCCGTCGGCCCCGTTTCAGGCCCCGTCGGCCCCACGCTAGCCCCTCTCAGGCCCCGTCGGCCCGCGCTAGCCCCGTTTCAGGCCCCGTCGGCCCCGTTTCAGGCCCCGTCGGCCCCGCGCTAGCCCCTCTCAGGCCCCGTCGGCCCGCGCTAGCCCCGTTTCAGGCCCCGTCGGCCCGCGCTAGCCCCGTCTCAGGCCCCGTCGGCCCCGCGCTAGCCCCTCTCAGGCCCCGTCGGCCCCGCGCTAGCCCCATTCAGGCCCCGATCGGGCCCGCGCTAGCCCCGTTTCAGGCCCCTTCGGCCCCGTTTCAGGCCCCGTCGGCCCCGCGCTAGCCCCGTTCAGGCCCCGTCGGCCCCTTGCTAGCCCCGTCAAGGCCCCGTTTGGCCCCGCGCTAGCCCCGCTCAGGCCCCGATCGGCCCCGCGCTCGCCCCTCTAGGGCCCCAACCGGCCCCGTGCCTACCTCGCCGACCCGTGCCCACCACCCAGAGGCCCCGGGCGGCCCGTTCCCGCCGCAGCACAAGAGGGAAAGCGGGCGGCCCGTCCCCGCCGTGACCTGAGCCGAGCCGCGTGCCCCGAGCCGAGCCGCGCCACCCAGCCGAGCCGCGACCCGACCTGAACCGAGCCGCGCCGCCCTGCCCTACCTGGTTCGTCCTACCTGCTTCTCCTACCGCTACTGCTGCTATTTCTACTGTTCCTATGGCTAGCCCACAGGTTCTCGTGTTCGATGCTGAGGGCCGCCCTGTGAAGTTTGACACCTGGCTCGATGACCTGCACCTCTACCTACAGCTCACAGCCAAGGATGACATCTCACTGTACGATCACGCCCTAGGCCTTGTCACTGCCCCTGCTGCTACTGCTGACAGCACTACTCGCTCACAGTGGCAGACTCGTGATGCCCACGCTCGCTTCGCCATTCGCAACTCCCTGCCGATAGACGAACGCGAGCACTTTGGTCAGCACAAGACTGCACCGGCACTGTACACAGCTGTAGTTGCTCGCTACTCCTCACCTGCCTCTGCCGCACTAGGCCGTCTCTCCCTCCCCTACCTGTTTCCCGACCTGGCCTCCTTTCACACAGTCGCTGACCTCATCACGCACCTCCGTACTAGTGAGGCCCGCTTCCGTGCCGCCATGCCTGCTGAGTTCCTTGCCACGCACCCCCCTCCACTCTGGCTCACTCTCTATCACCTAGTCACCCGCCTCCCTGACACACTGCGTGCTGTCAGGGACCACTTCCTAGCTCGTTGCCCCACTGAGCTCACCATTGCCCTCCTCGAGAAGGAGCTACTTGCAGCTGAGGCTAGCATAGTCGCTGTAGGTGCCTCTCGTGGCGACCCCCGTACCCCGTTCTTTGAGGGGTGTTCTCCTTCCCCCCTGCTTCCCTCTGTCGCCTCTGCTGCTGCTGTCGACCTTCTTGGTACTGAGAAGGTCGGCACTGCGTCTGCCTCGAGCGGACGCCGCAGCGGCAAGGGCAAAGGGGGCAAGGGTAGTGGCGGTGACGGCGGGGGAGGCGGCGGTGGGGGCGGTGGAGGCAGTGGGGGTGGTGGCTCGGCTGGAGGGGCGAGTGGTAGCGGTGGGGGTGGTGGCGGCAGCGGCGGGGGAGGTGGCAGGAGTGGAGGCGGCGGTTGGGGTGGCGGTGGACGAGGCGGCGGCAGGGGTTGGGGTGGTCGAGGAGGTGGCAGCGGTGGTGGTGGCCGTGGAGGCGCTGGCGGTGGCGGTGGCCAGGGCCAGCAGCACACTCTCTCGCCCCAGGAGGTCCGTGAGTGGTACTCTCAGCACGGGGGTGGGGGTGGTCTTAGCTGCACGTACGTCATTCGCACTGGTGACCGCACTGGTCAGCAGTGTGGACGACCGCACGCCACACAGCGCTGCTTCTCTCGTCTCGACGACGCTTGGCGTGTTCAGTTCCCTCAGGCCACTGAGCTGCCCCGCTGGCTTGATCTCCTGAAGAAGGGGATTGATATCTATGCTCTAGACTTTGATGCTATTCTATCTGCCATGTATGTGATGTCTACTAGTGGAGAGGGTGCTGAGTACTTGTGTGTGCCGCCCGACCCGGGCATTAGGGCCAGTGCGTCTGCCGCTCCAGGTACTCACGTGTCGGCTACCCCAGGTGCTGGTGAGGCTGCTGCTCTAGGTGCTCGTGTGTCTCCCCCCCTTGGTACTGCGTCGACTGCCGCACTGCACACCTTCACACTGGACTCAGGTGCTTCTTGCTGCTTCTTTCGTGACCGCACTGCCCTTGAGCCGCTTGCTCGACCAGTTGCTGTCTCCCTTGCTGACCCCTCTGGGGGTCCGGTCATTGCGACCTCTTCCACTGTCCTTCCCTGCCCTGCGGTCCCGTCGGGCACACTGTCAGGACTCCACCTCCCCTCGTTCTCTACGAACTTGGTGGCAGGCTGTGCACTCCAGGACGGGGGTGTTCACCAGTTCACCCCTGCCTACGAGCGCGTGACACACTGCACGTGTGCTCGTACGGGCCGTCACTTGGCTACCTTCACTCGGCAGCCGGGGTCGGACCTGTACACACTGACTACTGAGTCCCCTCAGGTTGCTGCGACTGCGTCCGCGTCCGCGTCAGGTCAGCTGTCCGCCCCCTGCTCATGTCGCTCTTTGGCACACGAGACTGTCCTCTGGCACCACCGCCTTGGCCACCCGTCTGTGCAGCGGCTTCGTGCCATGCACTCCAGGTACCTTGTCTCTGGCCTGCCCAGGGTCCTTCCTCCTCTCCCACCCTCGCCTGCTCCTACCTGTCTCCCCTGTGTCGAGGGACGGCAGCGCGCCGCTCCTCACTCCTCCTCGTTCCCCCCGACGACTGCTCCCTTGCAGACACTCCACATGGACGTGTGGGGCCCAGCCCGCGTCCGTGGTCAGGGTCAGGAGAGGTACTTCCTGATAGTTGTTGACGACTACTCGCGCTACACCTCGGTCTTCCCCTTGCGCACCAAGGGTGAGGTCCCTGATGTCTTGATCCCTTGGATCCGCAGAGCCCGTCTCCAGCTCAGCGAGCGTTTTCACTCGGACTTTCCTGTCCTGCGCTTGCACTCTGACAGAGGTGGTGAGTTCTCCTCCGACCTCTTGGCAGCCTACTGTGCTGAGCACGGCATTGAGCAGTCGTTCACGCTTCCGGCTTCTCCACAGCAGAATGGGGTTGCGGAGCGCCGCATTGGCCTGGTCATGGAGGTCGCCCGTACCTCCCTGATCCATGCGGCTGCCCCCCACTTTCTGTGGCCGTTTGCGGTCCGGTACGCTGCGCATCAGCTCAACCTCTGGCCCCGTGTCTCCTTGCCGGAGACCTCGCCCACGCTACTGTGGACGGGGGAGGTTGGCGATGCGTCGCGTTTCCGGGTCTGGGGGTCTCGAGCTTTTGTCCGCGATTCGTCTGCGGACAAGCTCTCCTCCCGTGCTGTTCCCTGCGTCTTCCTCGGCTTTGTCCCGGACGCGTCTGGTTGGCAGTTTTACCACGCCACCTCGCGCCGAGTCTTGCCCTCCCAGGACGTCACTTTTGACGAGTCCGTCCCCTACTACCGCCTCTTCCCCTACCGCACTGCCCCGCTCCCCCCCCCGCCTCTCTTCCTCTCGCCAGGTGCTGCTGTTGCAGACCCCCTCCCCCCTCAGGGTGCCGCTCCCTCAGGTGTGTCTCAGGTAGACCCGGTTGAGCCTGTTGAGGTAGCTGTCAACTCTCGTCCTGCTGGGGGTGCTGAGCCTGGGGGTGCTGAGCCTGGGGGTGTGGAGCCTGGGGGTGTGGAGCCTGGGGGTGTGGAGCCTGGGGGTGTGGAGCCTGGGGGTGTGGAGCCTGGGGGTGTGGAGCTTGAGGGTGCTGAGCTTGGGGGTGTGGAGCCTCGTGGTACTGAGCTGCGGAGTCCGGAGTCTGGGGGTTCTGCGTCTGGAGGTACGAGGTCTGGGAGTCCTGCACCTGGAGGAGCCCTCTCCTCGGAGCAGCTACGTGCGTGGTACTTAGAGTACTGCAGCCTCCGGAGAGGTACCACTCGAGCCGGACGTACTACTGGGACTGGTGCTAGTACTTCTTCTCCCGTTCGGGAGCTCCCCTCCCGCGAGCGGATCCGTGAGTGGTACGAGCGGCGCTGCAGTCTTCGGAGTGGCGTGCCTCGTGTTACGAACCCCGCTGCTGTTGGAGCTGCTGCTAGTGCTGAGGACCCGGGCGTTGGAGCTGCTGCTGGTGCTGCGGACCCGGGCGTTGGAGCTGCTGCTGGTGCTGAGGACCCGGGCGTTGGAGCTGCTGCTGGTGCTGAGGACCCGGGCGTTGGAGCCGCTGCTGGTGCTGAGGACCCGGACGTTGGAGCTGCTGCTGGTGCTGAGGACCCAGGCGTTGGAGCTACTGCTGGTGCTGAGGACCCGGGCGTTGGAGCTACCGCTGGTGCTGAGGACGTGGGCGCTGGAGCTGCTGCTGGTGCTGCGGACCCTGGTGCGGGTGTCCCTGCTGGCTCTGGTGTCGCTGCTCGGTCTCAGCCGTACTTTGTTCCGCTCCTTCAGCAGGTTCTTGGTCAGCTTCCTCCTCCTTTTCCTCCTCCCTCCTTAGAGTGTCCTCAGCCTGTCCAGCTGCAGTCGGCGTTACCGTCTGCCTCCTCTCTCCTTGGTCCTGCTCCTTACACTGGTCCGACTGGAGGTCTTACTGAGCGGCGTGAGCCTGCGTCTCGTCCTGCGTCGCCTGAGTCTCGTCCTGGGTCGCCTGTCCGCACTGCTCTCTCTAGTCGTCGAGTCCAGCGTCAGCGTCTTCCTGCTGTCCCAGGCACTCACCGGATGGCGCTTCGTCCGTCCACTGCTCCACAGCGTGTCCCACTGCCGTCTCCTCCTGCTTCCTCTCTTCCTGCTCTTCCTGACCCTGGGACAGACTCTCTTCGTGCTACCAGTCCTGCTGTCACGCGTCTCCTGGCCACTGTTGTCACTGACCCTTCCTTTGAGTCTGCTGCTGCGTCTGCCTTAGTTGCTGAGCTTGTCGACTTTGCTGCTCGCTGTCGTCTAGACTACGCTGCTAGCCTAGTTGCTGAGTCTGAGTCTGTCTGTCCTCCGTCCGTCGGGGGTGAGTGTGCTCTTGGCACTGACGTCCTTGAGGACAGGCAGGAGGAGTTCCAGTGCTTTGCTGCCGCTTTGCCCCATCTCGTGTCCATGCTTGTTGCCCCTGAGGGAGACCCGGATGCACCAGACATCCCGACCCCACGCTCTTACGCAGAGGCGATGGCCGGTCCCTACTCCTCTCAGTGGCAGTCAGCCATGGACACAGAGATGGCTTCCTGGAAGTCCACAGGCACCTACGTTGACGAGGTTCCCCCGCCTGGGGCGAACATCGTCAGTGGCATGTGGATTTTCAGGGTGAAGCGGCCGCCGGGTTCTCCGCCTGTCTTCAAGGCGCGTTACGTTGCACGAGGCTTCAGTCAGCGCGAGGGAGTTGACTTCTTCCAGACCTTCTCCCCGACCCCGAAGATGACCACTCTTCGGGTTCTGCTGCACGTCGCCGCTCAGCGTGACTACGAGCTCCACTCGCTTGACTTCAGCACTGCTTTCCTGCAGGGCAGCCTGCACGAGGAGATCTGGCTGCGCCGTCCACCTGGCTTCACTGGGTCGTTCCCTCCTGGTACCCAGTGGAGCCTCCGACGGCCAGTCTACGGTCTCCGCCAGGCGCCTCGTGAGTGGCACGACACACTGAGGACTACGCTTGCGGCTCTTGGGTTCGCGCCTTCTACTGCTGACCCGTCGCTGTTTCTACGCACCGACACCTCACTGCCGCCGTTCTACGTCCTTGTGTACGTCGACGACTTGGTCTTTGCTACTGCTGACACTGTGGCACTCGCCCACGTGAAGTCGGAGCTGCAGAAGAGACACACGTGCACAGACCTGGGTGAACTGACAAGCTATCTTGGCTTGCGGATCACCCGGGACAGAGCACGCCGCACCATCACCTTGACTCAGTCACACATGGTGCAGCAGGTCCTTCAGCGCTTCCGCTCCACGTACTCCTCGCCTCAGCCCACTCCTCTGCCTACCGGTCACTCGCTCTCAGCTCTGCCTTCGGATGAGTCCGTAGAGCCGAGTGGCCCGTATCCAGAGCTTGTGGGTTGCCTCATGTACCTGATGACCTGCACTCGACCAGACCTTGCATACCCTCTCAGCATTCTTGCACGCTATGTCGCTCCCGGCCGTCACCGGAAGGAGCACATGGATGCAGCTAAGAGGGTGTTGCGCTACTTGTGCAGTACGTCGGGCATGGGGCTAGTGCTTGGAGGGCGAGTCCCAGTTGTTCTCACTGGGCACTCAGACGCTTCTTGGGCAGACGACCAGGCTACTCAGCGGTCGTCTCAGGGTTACTCCTTCAGTCTTGGCTCTGGTTCTGTTTCTTGGCGTTCTACTCGCTCTTCTTCTGTTCTCAGCTCCAGTTGTGAGGCTGAGATCTACGCCACAGCCATGGCGGCCCAGGAGCTACGCTGGCTCACCTACTTGCTGACCGACCTTGGAGAGCAGCCTCGTTCTCCTCCAGTGCTGTACGTCGACAACAAGGCAGCCATTGCCTTGTGTGAGGAGCACAGACTGGAGCACAGAACGAAGCACATTGCTCTGCGTTACTTCCTCGCTCGAGAGCCGCAGCAGCGTGGTCAGCTTCGCCTGCGTTACGTGGCCTCTGAGGCCAACGCTGCTGATGTGTTCACCAAGGCGCTTCAGCCTTGTGACCATCAGCGCTTTTGCACTCTTCTAGGCCTTGTGCCTACTGGACCTCACTTGCTTACTTCTTGAGTCTGTTGTACTGTGATCTCTATATATAAACCTGCATGTGAACTGGTCTTGTGACCACTTGCTTGTGCTCGGAATTTGTGTGGTATCCTTGAGATCCACCCTGAGCTTGTTTTGCCTTGCTTTGCCTTGACTGGTCTTGTGACCCCTAGTTCTCCCCCACTTTGCCTATGGGGGTGTGTCAAACATTATATATGTTGTGTTAGTTTAGGCTACAGTGGGTTAGCCTATAGGGGGTACACAATTCTAGGGTTAGGTACTTGTACTCTTTTCATTGCTAGTCCATCCATTTTCCTGTTCAGTGATTCCAACACCCTCCCCTCAAGATGAGCGAGATGTGTCTCGGCGTCGCCGTGACTCCCCTCGTCGGCGGCAGCCGCAGGCGAACTGGCATGCGCACCAGAGCGGCTGGGGGGGAGGTCCGGTCGCGGGCGTGGCGGGGCGTTTGATGGGCCCGTGACGATGGCGGACTTGCAGCGGGTTGTAACGGCTGCGATGTGCGAGGAGAGGGCCCTGCAGGCGAACCAGCAGTTCCCTCGTGCATCTGCCGCTCCTCCTCCTGTTGCACCTCCTGTGACTGCACCGGCGGCGGTTGCTCATCATCCTCCTGCTACCCCTGCTCCTTATCCGTCCCTTCTGCCCGGTGATTCTGCTCCTCATGCTGCTGGTGCTGCGCAGCCGTTCCAGACGTTTGTGGGTCCTCCCCGCGCGGCAGAGGTTCCGGAGGCGACCCTAGGGCAGCTGTGGCGCCTCTCTGAGGGTTTGCGGGCTGTGCATCTGATCCAGATGTATGGTCACGCTGGTTTCTCTCGTGGGAACTCCCTGGATAACGGTTCCCGGGATGAGTGTCTTGACGCCGCGGATCGGCTCGCGGAGCTCTTGGCGCCCGTGTTGGCTGCGCCCGCGAGGGGAGGAGTTGCCGGCGTTGGGAAGCTGGGGACGGCTGTACGAGGCTTGCGGCGCTTTTCGCGCGCTGGGACTGCAGCCGATGTGATCGGCGCAAGCACGGCGGAGGTGCGGGAGCTTCATCACTCACAGACGAGTCTTCTCGCCGTCCTTGATGCGGATCAGATGTAGTATCCGCCTCCGCGGGCTCCATGGTAGCTTCCTAGCAGCTTGTACCGTTTGCCATGCTTGTATGCCGTTTGTAGTTCGGATTGCACTTGTCGTTGAGTCCCTTGCCGTCCCCTAGGCGCGGCCGAAGGCCGCGCTGTCGAGTGTCGGCCGCCGAAGGCGGCCGGCGCGAGCCGCTCGGTTGGGAGAGCGAATCCACCTCAGAACTGAATAATGAGCTAAAGAACAGGGCAGCAAGGCCTTTATACTAGGGGGCTAGGGGGCTGAGAGGCTAAGGGAGAGGCTAAGGTCTCTCTCTCTCTCTCCTCTCTCTCCCGCTCGGTTGGGAGAGTGAATCCACCTCAGAACTGAATAATGAGCTAAAGAACAGGGCAGCAAGGCCTTTATACTAGGGGGCTAGGGGGCTGAGAGGCTAAGGGAGAGGCTAAGGTCTCTCTCTCTCTCTCTCTCTCTCTCTCTCTCTCTCTCTCTCTCTCTCTCTCTCTCTCTCTCTCTCTCTCTCTCAAGCAGTCATGTATTGATAATGTTCAAGAGGAACAGGCAAGGCAGGGAGTGGTAGTAGCTAGTCTGTCTAAGCATGAAGGCAACTAGGTACTGGAGACTAGCAACTAGCAAACAAGCAAGCAAGCCAGCAAAACAAGACCTGCAAGGTATGCCGTGTGTGTATGCACACTAGTCCCCTAACCGGCCAGCAGCAGCAACTCCAGTCCCTAGGGACCTCTCTCTCTCTCTCTCTCTCTCTCTCTCTCTCTCTCTCTCTCTCTCTCTCTCTCTCTCTCTCTCTCTCTCTCTCTCTCTCAAGAAGTCCTCCATTGATATGGTTTATAAGGTACGGGCATGGCAGGGGCGGGTTTTAAACAAGTAGGCTATCCTATGCATGCAAGCAAACATGTTGAGAAGCAAACAAGGCACAAGCAAGCAATCAAATACGCCAGCCGCTAGGCAAACAACTAGAACCGCTAAGTAGCAAGCATCAACCTAGAACAGGCACAACCAGGTCCAGCACTAGCAGGCCAGCCAACCTAACCCCCAGATGGTCAATGTGTTATAGTGAAAATAGGCTCAAATGTGCCTAAAACGAAAGATAGTGCACAGACAGACTTCGGTAGAGCGGCTTTAGAACTTGATAGCATTCTGGTAACAGCACCAAATTATGTTCCATAAATTGGATATGGAGCACCTGCTTTAGAAGTATTGGGCTGATGAGGCAGGTAGGGGAGGGAAGTTTAGGGGAGGTTTGTCATATTCGAGGTGAAGAAGGTGATGCTGCTGCTGCACGAGCCGACCAACCATGCTGAGGCGCTGAATGAGTGGGATTGCAGCATGGTGCTCGTGTCCCACGACTTCAGACTCATTAATCAGGTGAGGGGGCGTGGGGATGAGGTGACGAGGGCTCAGGATGTGTTTTGAGTCAACTCAAAACACATCTGAGGCGCTGAATGAGTGGGACGGTGGCATGGTGCTCGTGTCCCATGACTTCAGACTCATTAATCAGGTGACGTCATGGGGATGAGAGCAGAGGGCTTGGTTTCCTTAATTGGGTGACATGACAAGACCTTGTGCATAAGTGCTGGGTTGATGAAGCTGGTAAGGTAGGGAAGTTCAGGCCTGGAATATCGGGTTTGATGAGGTAAAGGTGATGCTGCTGCTGCACGAGCCGACCAACCATGCTGAGGCGCTGAATGAGTGGGATGGAGGCATAGTGCTCGTGTCCCACGACATAAGACTCATTAATCAGGTGAGGGCATGGGGATGAGAGACTGGGGTGCACGTGATAAAGTTGAGTTGTGAGACGCCTCAAAGCTCAAATATTGTCACGTGGCATGGTGCTCGTGTCCCACGACTTGAGACTCGTCAACCAGGTGAGGGCATGGGGATGAGAGAACAGGGATGAGGACTTCAAAATTACGAGAAGATGTGGGTTAGTTGGGTTCTATTGACCAGGTGACTGGGTGCTGACGCTATGAATGAATTAACGTCTTGACTGGCTGTTGACTCGCCTGTTATGTGTCTGTGTGCTTATGGTGCTGTGTGTGCGGTGCGGTGATGTGTGTGCTATGCTGTGCTATGGCAGGTGGCAAAGGAGATCTGGGTGTGTGAGAACCGCACGCTGACGCGGTGGGAGAACGACATTGTGGGCTTTAAGAACCACCTGCGGAAAAAGGCCAACATCGACTGAGCAGCCCACCTTGCTGCAGCTGGGAGCGGGCAGCTAGGAGGGGAGAGGGGGGAGGTGGGTGGGAGGAGAGAGGTGTGGTTTGGAGAAGGCCTATAGACAGTTGGCAGCATATCAGACTTGCCATTTTTGGGGGGGTAAAGGATGGGGATTTAAGTCAAGGGCCTGAGGGAAGGCTCAAAGAAAGGGTCAGACGAGGGAGGGGTAGAATCGCAGTGGTCTTTCAACCCAACCTTAGGCTTCATGTGTTGCAGTGGCACTCCCGCCTCTCCCTTCTGCCCCTCTTCGGCTGTGCCAGCTGGATCCCCTCCTTGGGACTTTGTTTCCTGGCACTCCCTCCGGTGCCATGTCACACCTATCTAGCCTTTTATGTGGCATCACTTCACTTCATTTTATGCTCCATGCTACCTGTACTGTGGGAATGGGAATACTTGCCTACTCATGGACTGGTTCAGCCTGTTATCGCGGCCTAACTAGGTTGGTAATTAGTTAGCTCAACTGCCCTGCCTTTCAGGATTTTGTTTACCCGTGTGAGATTTAAACACCAGCAATATCAATGATGGCCAGCTAGCTGGTTGTGGGGGACTTTTGCTTGGCAGTGTTGCGATACCAATCCAAAAATTAGGCTCTAGAGGTTGTTGCTTGAAGATGGTGGGTGGGTGGTTCTCTTCTAGCCCCTTACAACGCCATGGCCATTCAGCCAGAGATTTTTCAGCCATTAAACATGAGCCGTTGCCTACATTAGGCAAGTTGACTTACTCAATTTTATAAAGAACTAACAATGTGATATAAGTTCAACCGAATGGCGGTCTAGCAGCAACAATAGTCTTAGAGCACAAATTAGGAAGAATGACGAGTTGGGAATGGCTCTCAGCCTCTACAAACCCCAAGAGAAGAGTCCCGAGGAGGTGGAACAGTGCCTCACAATCCCCAACCTCGAAGGGTCTCGAAACTACTCACAAGGGCCTACACCAAGAGAAATTCTACACTATATAATGCAATGTAACTATTTCCACTATTTCTTATGCTTACCCTTTTAGCGAGCTTCAAAAGGACTTGAAACTTGAAAACAAGGCTTGGAGTCTTCACCACAAATTCTTCCTTGAGTTCTTAGAAGTTTGCTGCACACACCTGCGACACGCCAAACGTTCAAAACACGACAAAATAGAAAACACACATGACACGCAAACGATGGCGTGACACCCGACTAGCGATAACTCGCTATTGACCTGACACACACATTCGACATCATGGGTCATCTTGCACATACTATTCCATACCATATCATGACTCATCATCGTGAAATATACTTTATCTCATGCCCTCGTACCATTCCATGCACACACAAGGACAAAAAGCCGAATGCAAACCATAGGGTTGCACCAACAAACCCCCCCTCGGATTGTTGGCCTTAAGATCTATTCCTCTCAGTTCAGAGCCATCCCAGCCAGCTTGCAACACTTCCAATACTGATGTTCCACTAGCCTTTTGGTCATCATGTCAGCTGGTTGCGCCGTCGTCTTCACGTAGTGCAACTCAACTTCACCTGCGGCCACGTCGTTCTCGGGACGCTTATGTGAGGCTGTGCAACACAGGGTTCTTAGCTAATGCAATGACACCCTGGCTGTCACAATAGAGAGAGGTAGGTCCTTGCTGCTCCTCCCCCAACTCAGCCAACAAATGCCGCTGCCACACAATTTCCCGTACGGCATGGAAGAGTGCCATATACTCAGACTCCACTGAGCTCAATGCTTGGTCAACATGTTTCTTGCTCTTCCAAGCAGTTGGGCCTCCACCAACGAAGCAAATGGAGCCTCCCGCACTTGTCATTTCCCCTGGTTCTAATGCATGAGAAGCATCGGAGAAGGCGGTGAGGAATAAACGCCAGGGTTCAAGACCATCCGCGCCCTTTTGGCGTCTTTGCGCAGCCACCAAGTATTGCAGCCCAACGGTCGCTATTTGACCAAGATATCTGGCCACCCTCTTTCCAACTGCTACCTGCTCCTCATTAGGGCATTGAAATGTGAAAATGAAGAACGAGAATGAGTGAACTATGAAATGAAGTGAGTACAAATAGGAAACCCTAATTGGGTTGTACCCCTTATGGGATACCCCACTATAGCCTACACAACAGCATAAGCTATATAATGTTCTGACACACCCCCATAGGCAAAGTGGGGGAGAACAAGGGGTCACAAGACCAGTCAAGCAAAGCAGAGCAAGCTCAGGGTGGATCACAAAGTCACCACACAGTCCGAGCACAACGACAAGGCCACAAGGCCAGTTCACATGCAGGAGTACACATATATATATAGAGCTAGACAAGCAAGAGCAGGTATATATATGTAACAGTACAAGCAAGGTCAAGAAGAGAGCAAGTGAGGCAAGACAGGTACAAGACCCAGCTGGGTGCAGAAGCGCTGATGGTCACAAGGCGCAAGTGCCTTGGTGAACACATCAGCAGTGTTGGCCTCAGAGGCCACGTAAGCAAGTCGCAACTGACCACGCTGCTGCAGCTCACGAGCAAGAAAGTAACGGAGAGCAATGTGCTTCGTTCTGTGCTCCAAGCGCTGCTCTCGACACAAGGCCAGCATGGCCTTGTTGTCTACGTACAGCACTGGAGGAGAACGAGGCGGCTCTCCAAGGTCAGTCAGCAGGTAGGTGAGCCAGCGAAGCTCCTGTGCAGCCATGGCCCCGGCGTAGATCTCAGCCTCACAACTGGAGCTGAGAACAGAGGACGAGCGAGTAGCCCGCCACGAGACAGAGCCGGAACCAAGACTGAAGGTGTAACCCTGCGACGACCGCTGTGTAGCCTGGTCGTCTGCCCAAGAAGCGTCCGCGTGCCCAGTGAGGACCACTGGACTCCGCCCTCCAAGCACTAGCCCCATGCCCGACGTACTGCACAAGTAGCGCAACACCCTCTTAGCTGCAGCCATGTGCTCTGGTCGGTGTCTCCCAGGAGCAACATAGCGTGCAAGAATGCTAAGAGGGTATGCAAGGTCAGGTCGTGTGCAGGTCATCAGGTACATGAGGCAGCCAACAAGCTCTGGGTACGGGCCACTCGACTCTACGGACTCATCCGAAGGCAGAGCTGAGAGCGAGTGGCGAGTAGACAGAGGAGTGGCCTGAGGCGAGGAGTACGTGAAGCCGAAGCGCTGAAGGACCTGCTGCACCATGTGTGACTGAGTCAAGGTAATGGTGCGGCGTGCTCTGTCCCGAGTGATCTGCAAGCCAAGGTAGCTGCGCAGTTCACCCAGGTCTGTGCACGTGTGTCTCTTCTGCAGCTCGGACTTCACGTAGGCTAGTCCAGCAGTGTCAGCTGTGGCAAAGACCAAGTCGTCGACGTACACGAGGACGTAGAACGGCGGCAAAGAAGTGTCGGTGCGCAGAAACAACGACGGGTCAGCAGTAGAGGGAGCAAACCCAAGAGCCGCAAGCGTAGTCCTCAGTGTGTCGTGCCACTCACGCGGTGCCTGGCGGAGACCGTAGACTGGCCGTCGGAGGCTCCACTGGGTGCCAGGAGGAAAAGTCCCAGTGAAGCCAGGTGGACGGCGCAGCCAGATCTCCTCGTGCAGGCTACCCTGCAAGAAAGCAGTACTGAAGTCAAGAGAGTGGAGCTCGTAGTCGCGCTGAGCGGCTATGTGCAGCAGCACCCGAAGAGTGGTCATCTTCGGGGTGGGAGAGAAGGTCTGAAAGTAGTCAACTCCCTGCCGCTGACTGAAGCCACGAGCGACGTACCGCGCCTTGAAGACAGGTGGAGAGCCCGGCGGCCGCTTCACCCTAAAGATCCACATGCCACTGACGATGTTCGCCCCAGGAGGGGGAACCGCGTCAACGTAGGTGCCTGTGGACTTCCAGGACGCCATCTCTGCATCCATAGCTGCCTGCCACTGAGAGGAGTAGGGACCCTCTACGGCCTCCGCGTAAGAGCGCGGAGTCGGGATGTCTAGTGCATCCGGGTCTCCCTCAGGGGCAAGTAGTACGGACGCGAGATGAGGTGAAGCAGCAGCCAGACACCGGAACTCCTCCTGCCTGTCCTCAAGGACGTCCGTGCCAAGAGCACACTCACCCCCGACGGACGGAGGACAGACAGACGCAGACTCAGCAACAAGACCGGCAGCGTAGTCTAGACGACAGCAAGCAGCAAAGTCGACGAGCTCAGCAACAAGTGCAGACGCAGCAGTGGACTCAAAAGAGGGGTCAGTGACGACAGTAGCAAGGAGACGTGTGACAGCAGGACTGGCAGCACGAAGAGAGTCCGACTCCGGGTCAGGAAGAGCAGGAAGAGAGGACTCAGGAGGAGAAGGCAAAGGGGCACGCAGAGGAGCAGTGGACGGACGCAGAGACATCCGGTGCGTGCCAGGGACAGGAGGAGGACGCTGACGCGAACCACGACCACTAGTGCGAGCAGCACGGACAGGCGACGCAGGACGAGACGCAGGCTCACGACGCTCAGCAAGACCTCCAGTAGGACCAGTGTAGGGAGAAGGAGCGGGCAGTGGGGAGGCCGGCTGTAACTGGAACTGCGACAGGACAGGCTGTGGACACTCTAAGGGAGGAGGAGGACCAGTAGAAGGCGGGAGACCAAGAACCTGCTGAAGGAGCGGAACGAAGTACGGTCTAGGCTGCGCGGCGACTCCAGACACAGCAGGGACAGCACCAGTACCCCAAGCGGGAGCACCAGCGCCAGCAGCACCTCCAGCTCCAGGACCTCCAGCAGCACCAGTAGCACCCCCAGCAGGACCGCCTCCAGGACCGACAGCAGTAGCCTCAGCGCCAACACCCTCAGCAGCTCCAGCTCCAGCACCTCCGGGACCCGCGGCACCAGCACCCTCAGTAGCCGAAGAACCTCCAGCTCCAGCAGCACGCCTCCAGCGCCGGGCAAACCACTCGCGCAGCTCCTGTGGAGAGAGGGGCTCCCGCCGAGGCGAAGCACCCGGAGAACCGCCAGGTCCCGCACCGCCAGACGCCACAAGGGGAGGTCCAGTGGCCGCAGGCTCCGC